GTTCCCCTTTCTCCGCATCCCTGCCAACATCTGTCGTTTCCTGACTTGTTAATTTTAGCCATTCTGACTGGTGTGAGGTGGTATCTCATTGAGGTTTTGACTTGGATTTCCCTGATGCCGAGTGATGTTGAGCACTTTTTCATGTGTCTGTTGGCCATTTGGTGTCCTTGAGAGTTTTCACTGCTGCTTCTGTGTCCAGGTTTTTGCAATTATGAATAGAGCTGCTATAAACCTTTGTGGACAGGTTTTTGTGTGAACTTAAGTTTTCATTTCTGTAAGATACATAGCCAGGCGTAGGATTCTAGGTCATATAATAAATGTATATTTAGTTTTCTAAGAGAACGCCAAACTATTTTCTAAAGTGGCCATACCATTTTCCACTCCCCCAGGAATGGATGAGAGCTCGTGTTGGTCCACATCCATGCAAGCCCTGGGTTTTTCAGTATTTTTTTAAAAAATATTATTTATTTATTAGAGAGAGAGAGAGCGAGAGAGAGTGTGCACACGAGTGAGGGGAAGGGGTGGGGAGAGGGAGAAGCAGACTCCCTGCTGAGCAGGGAACCCTGGAAGGGGGGGCTTGATCTCAGGACCCCGGGATCATGACCAGAGCTGAAGGCAGACACTTAACCAATTGAGCCACCCAGACAACCCTCAGTATTTTTAATTTTAGCCATTCTAATAGGTGTGTAGTAGTGTTTCATTGTGTTTTTAATTTGCAGTTTTCTAATGGCTAATGAAGTTAAACATTTTCGTGTGTTTATTTGCCACCCATAAATACTCTTGGATGAAGTGTGCTCATGCCTTTTGCCCATGTTTTAACTGGGGTTTTGTTTTCCTCCTGGTGAGTTTTGTCAGTACTTTATACATTCTGGATAAAAGTCATTTGTCTTTTTTCTTTCAGTCTGTAGCTTGTCCTTTCATTCTCTTAACAGATACCTTCCGTAGTGCAAAGGTTTTTAAATTTTGATGAGTCCAAAAGAAGTTGATACCTTCTTTTATGGATTGCGCTTTTGGTGTCATGCCTAAGAATTTTTTGCTTAACTCCAGATCATGAAGATTTTCTATTTTTTTCTAAAAGTTTCATAGTTTTACATTTAAATTTATGATCCATTTTGAATTAATTTTCGTATAAGATACGACATTTAGATTGAGATGGTTTTTGTTGTTGTTGTTGTTGTTTGCATATGGTCTCATGAGAATTAAATGAGGCAAAGCAGGTAAAACAGTGCCCCCAGTAGAAGTTAATTCTTGCCCTTAAATTTTGTATGGCCTTGGGGTAAATGACCTCTTCATGGATATGATGCTGACTCCTGGAGCATGCAGACCTATAAGGGCAGAGGTATAACTCACCTTACATTTCTTTCGGATCTTTTGGGTGAATTACAAGTCCACAGAATGATTATCAACTTCACCCATGGTCAGCTTTTTATAAATGTATTTCCTTGGGATCTAAATTTTCCTCCATCTGTAACCCTGGCTCTCACTCTGGTATTGAGGAATAGAAATGTCCTTGGGGCACCTGGTTGGCTCAGTCGGTTAAGCGTCTAACTTCAGCTCAGGTCATGATCTTGGGGCTCTGGGGTTGAGCCCCGCATTGGGCTCCCCACTCAACAGGGAGTCTGCTTCTCCCTCTGCCCCTCCCTCTGCTTGTGCTCTTTCTCTTTCTCTCAAATAAATAAATAAAATCTTAAGAAAAAAATGTCCCTTATGACAGTGACCTTGAGTAAAAATTCATTTGAACTATCTAGAGACTGAGAGGAGGCTCTCAAATGTGGTAGCCAGGGCTGGGACTAGGGCACAGCAAGAGAGGCACATAGGACACACTGTTGAGGAGATGCTCGCTCTCAGGGTCCTGCAAGAGCCTCCCTAAGCGACTGTCTCCTTAAATTTTGCACCCAGATGGCTTTGGCTTTCTTGCCTCACTCTGAGGTGGGTCTCCTGCCGGGTGGCAGCAGTGAGCCTGAAAGATAGGGCAGCCCATAGGGTGGGCTCAGGAGCAGCGAACAGTAGATTGTGAGTACAAGGTGGGAGTGAAACCCTGGACCTGTTATTCTAATTACTGTAAAAAAATAAAAACAGAGCAAAATAATTTTCTGAAGCAGGCTGGAGCTACACTCTGTAAATGGTATTAATATGCTAAATGGTAAAATGTTTTAATATGCTCTTTATCGCACTCACTGCGGATTCTTTTCTTGATATGTTGGAATAGTAAAGCTTTTTATGAATTTAATGCCCAGTCCTAATATAAAAGATTTATTAAAGTAAATAGTGGGGAGGTGAGTGGGAGGATGGGGTAACTGGGTGATGGGCATTAAGGAGGTCACTTGAAGTAACGAGCTCTGGGTGTTATATGCAACTGATGAATCACTAAATTCTACCTCTAAACTAATAATACATTATATGTCAATTAAATTGAATTTAAATAAAAAATTAAAAAATAAAGTAAATGGTGATTTTTGGAGAAAATTTTAAATTCCTAAAACTCTGCCTTAACTCCTGTATTCTAGAGTTACCATGACAAAGTACCACCAAGTAGGTGGCTTAAAACAGTAGAAATGTATCTGCTCATAGTTCTGGAGGCTAGAAGTCTGAGATGAAGTTGTGGGCAGTGTGGATTTCTTGTGAGGGCTGTGAGGAGCACTCCGCCCTGTGCCTCTCCCTAGCTTTGGGGATAGCTGGCAATCCTTGGCGTTCCTTGGCCCACAGATGCATCATTCAGTGTGTGTTTTCACCCCGCCTTCTCCCTGTGTGTGTGACTTTCCCGCTATGAGGACTCGGGCCATATTGGATTAAGGGCTCACTTGACTTCTGCATGACCACCCTCTTCAGGGTGACAACTGCTACAGTGTGGGCCCATGCCAACCCCCTACACAGTGCAGGACCGCGTGAGGGGAGAAGGTGCCGGAGGAACTGTGGGTAGGAGGGACAATTCCCAGGTTCTCGGGGGAGGGCCTCACACTTGGGGGGGGGGTCAGAGGGGCAGTTATCTTCCTGTTGGGCTTTTTGACCCAGGCTCCCACAACCCTGGCTCTGGAGGAGCTGGTTCCTCAGCGTTCCCCTGTGTACCACCCTCAGCTGTCCAGAGCCCTTCTGTTTGGGCAAAGCCATTTTATCCGGATGGTTTCTCCTGCTGACCCTGTGGTGCTGAGACTCTCCTGTTGCTCTCAGTGCCAGTCAGGCAGGCTCATTCCGTGGGCCCTTTTGTCCCTCCTGCGGAACTAACGCTGTAGGGATGATGCTGTGCTTAACTTCTCTGTGTGGCTGGGCCACAAAGTGCTCTTTCCACAGCGTGGGTCCATGGCATGCTTGTTTGGTTGGCATTGGTGGCCATGCTTGGAGTCAGTGCCCGTCAACCCGTTGGGGTCCAATTCAGCGTGCAGACTCAGTCCAGCTCCCTGTGGTCTCCAGAGGCTGCAGACTTCTAGGAGGCCAGGCTGGCAGGGTAGCCTGACCACTCCCTCCACGTCTCCAGTTGTCCAGCTTTCTGGGAAGGAAAGATGCCCTGAAAACGTGCTGTGGCAAGGGGTCAGAAGTGGGTGGGGCCTTAGCAGCAATTCAGCGAGTGCTCTGGCCTCCTAAGCAAACATTATGCATAACGTCCCTGTTCCTTGTCTTTCATATTTTATAACTATTATTTAATTATACAAATTTAAAAGGAGATTTGGGGCTAAAAGAAAAAACACATTTTTTTAATTTAGAAAGCGAGAAAGAGAGACTGCGTATAAGAGGTGGGGAGGGGCAGAGGGAGAGAGAGAATCTCAAGCGGACTCTGTGCTGAGCTCCAAGCCCAACAAGGACCACTGGGGAGGGGGGAGGGACGGGCTCGATCTCATGACCTTGAGATCATGACCTGAGCTGAAATCAAGAGTCAGACACTTGACTGACTGAGACATCCAGGTGCCCTGAAAAAGCACATCTTTTTTTTTTTTTTAAGATTTT